TTGAATTGTTTTTCTTTCTTTTTTCTCTCTTACATTATAACCTGACTGCAGTTTCCCCTCCCTCCACTCATCATAGTCCCTCCGCCCACCTCCCCTTCCCCCAGATCCATGTCTTTTCCATTTCATTTAAGAAAAAAAAATAAAAGAGCTGATATTCCAGGAATATAAACTAAATGTGGCATAATAAATCACAAAAAAGCTAGACACAAACCCGCATATGCTCTACAAGGCAACCCAGTAGTAAGATGGTTGTTAAATATTAAAACATTGAAACAGACAGGTTTTTAACTATTTACTGAACTGCAGCAAGGCATGCTTATGAAAAGCCTCTCTTAGGGCTGGGGAGTCTTACTCAGGGCTTCTACGGCTGTGATAAAATACCAGGGCTGAAAGCAATTCAGAGGATAAAGAGTTTATTTCCGCTCACAGTTCTTTATATGTCATGGTTCATTGCTGATGGAAGTCAGGGCAGAAACCCATGGCAGCAACCTGGATGCAGGAGCGGATGCGGAGGTCTTGAAGCTGCTTGCTGCTTTGCTCCACATGGCTTGCACTGCCTGCTTTCTTAAACAACCCAGGAAGGGTCTACCCACAGTGAGCTGGGCCCCCCAATAGCAGGCATCAATCAAGAAACTGCAGCACAGCCTAGACCATCAGTCAGTCTCCTTGGGACATTTTCTCAGTTGAGGTTCCCTCTCCCCAAATGACTGTAGCCTGGTGTCAAGTTGATACAAAACTGTTCAGCACAGCTGTGGAGGTGGTTCAGTGGGGAACATGTTTGATTCCTAGGCTTGTGGCATTCAGTTTGGATGCTTAGTAACCACGTGAAAATGTGGTTCTCTGCACCTGCCTGTAACCCAACACTGGGAGGACTCAGAAAACAGTGTGCCAACCTGGTACACTAACCAAATGAACAACTGACAAGTTCATTGAAGAGGCTTCATTATAAAACCTAAGGTGGAGCATTCCAGAGGAAGACATTCAGTATTGACTATGGACTCCATAATATACACACCTGCATTTGTACACCTGTACCTTCACACATAACATTGTATATACACAAATGTATATATACACTGCATACACACATACACACAAGTACTTGAATAGGAATAATTTAACCAATACTTTGAATACTATAAAATTATCTAGGAAGTATTTTACTCTGACAGATCTTGAAAATAAGGCCTTAAGAAAAGATTTGCTTTGTTTTATTTCTATTGAACACCCCAATACAAATAACTATACTGAATCTTTGATGATATGAAAGATAGTCTCAAAGCTTGTTAGGTTCCAACCTTAAGTTGAGAATAGTGTAATTAAAATAAAGCTTTCCAATTCTTTACCGAAGCAAATGAGGCCCAAGTGATGCCTTTTGAACTCACTTGAAGGCTGTTGCTTTCAAGAACATGCAGGCATCCGTTATTTTTGTTCTCAACCTCTGCCTCATGGAGGCCACAAAGGCTGTTGGACCAGGTTTCCTTATTGAGGTCTTTACATTCCAAGAGTTCCCAGAAGTTTCAAGAAGAGAAACACTTACAAGGGCACTGACAGTTTACAGAAAGCTGTGGAGACATGGAGCTTTAATTAAGAAAGTAACTTGTCAGTTCTGGCATCATGACTCAGACCTGGGTCAGCCTGGGGCAATCTGCTTTAATACCTCACCTGTGATACCTGCCTCCTAATCATGGTTATTACACCATAAAATCTCAGCAGCCACCAGGAGAGTGACTCTGCCTGCTGGCCAATAAAGATTATCACACCTACAACAATTTTCTGAGGATTTCTGTGGCAAATTGTTTGACAACTAAATATAGATTGATAAATGAATTAATAAACAAATTTTCCAAGCCATTAGTGAATAATATTGTTGTATAAGGCCACTTGTTCACAACCATGGGTGACTAAAATCCACTTAAAACCTGAGAGAGTGTAGGAAGGAATTCTAGGTAAAAATTAAAAAAAAAGAGTTGAGCACAATTTAATGTCATGGCTCATTTAAGAGAGATTTTCCTGATTTAGTGATAACAGAAAAAAAGTTACCTGAAACAGCAGCTTTCTGGGACATTCTGCCAGGTCTATGGTTAATTCAGGAAGCCAAACATTTCAATGGACTTGTAAGCAGTGTGTTACAAACTGATTAGTGTGTCTTGACATAAAAGCAGTTCTGGTCATAAAAAGATTACAGATGCACAATAAAGACAAATTCAGATGAAAATGACCTCTAAATGGGTCTCAATGTGAGATAAATGCACATAGACTTGGGAGAGAGAAGAAAAATAGTATAGAGAATTGTTAAAAAGAAGTAAATGTTTTTTTAAAGGAAAAACAAAGTCCTTAAAGAGACAGAGTACAGACAGTCATATATTTAAAGGAATAAGGAAAAAGAAGTCACATAAAGATGGAATATACACAGAGAGCCTGGATTATATATTATTGTATTTTCTTTGAATTTTTCGACTGTGAAGGAGCTAAGTACAGAGAGACATTTCATTGTATGGACTGCTAAGCTAAACCAGCATGTATATTATAAAGGTATCTTAATTCCAGAATTTGGATCTAAGGACATGTTGCTTTGGAAAAGAGGTTCTTCTTTTGTTTCCACAGAGGATAAGAACCTGTGGAATCCTTCCAGGCCAATGGGGTTTGATGGACCAAGAGCCCCTGAAAGGCCCCCATGAACACCCCCAAAATTACTTCACCCAAGAAAAATCAGAAAGCAGTTTGGAGAGAATGACACCTAGATTTTCAAATATTGTTTATAAAGATTTGTTTACATTTAAAGACGATATGCTATAGAGATTTGCATTGGTATGGATCTTGATTTATTGATACAAATTTAAGATAAGTTTTGTTATATATGTATATTTCTGCTCTTGATTAAGGTATTGCATTTGTGTAGCTCATTTAAAAATGTAATGTATAATTAAGAAACATAGATTAATAGAGAGTCATCTATAATAGTCAAGTTTGTAGTCATATTAGTTAGGTTTTCTAGGTATGTAGAGATATATTTCAGATAAATAGATATTCTTCAAATATTTCAGAGACCTTCAGAATGTGTCATTAAAAATGTCTTAAGAACTTAGGACTTTTCATGACAATGAGACACATGTGCTCCTGACAACACCAATGAACTTCAAGAGGATGATGGGCATTGAAGAGGCTCCTTATAGAGTTGGTTAACCACTGGCTAGAAACTGCTCTTGCCTGGACTGCTTGATGAGCTGGACATGTAGGACCCACAGAGAAATGACTGCTAAAGTTACCTAAAGAAGGTGAGACAGTCCTTCAGGGTTCCTGCTTCATAAAAGAGTCTGCAAGACATTCTGCTGGACATAGAAAAAAGTGACTGACAAACTGCCAATATAGATGGAACTGTCTTCAAAATTTCTGGCTTTATGGAAAAGTCTGCAAGACACTATGGGCCTGTAGACTGAAGATGGATGCTTCAATGAAACAGAAGCATCTGTTTCTGGATGACTGTCCAGGCAGTGAGATGTCTCTGACATTTCCAGAGTTTTGGAAGTTGCTTATAATGCACTTCCTGTTTCCTTAAGTAATATTATATCCTTCTGAAGTCTTTCATGGAGTTGAAAAATAGATAATTATAATTATAGTTTTCGTTAGTTATGATAAAAGAAAAAGGAGATATGAATATTGTAACTATAATTTTGCTTGATAACTGTTTTATTATATGTGATTTTACTATGTTAAAGTTAAAACCTTCATTTTTATAAACAGAAAAGGGAAGGTAATGTGGGATTTCCCTCTGTATGCTGTGAATTCCATTGGTTAATAAAGAAATTGTCTTTACCTATAATAGGGCAAAGTATTAGAGCTAGGAAGGGAAAAATAAACTGAATGCTGGGAGAAAGAAAGCAGGGTTTAGAGAGAAGTCATGTTGTCCCGCTAGAGACAGATGTCAGAACTTTATCCAGTAAGTCACAGCCTTATGGCAATACACAGATTAATGGAGATGGGTTAATTTAAGATATGAGTTAGCCAGAAATTCGCTTAAGCTATTGGCCAAACGGTATTGCAAATACTATGGTTTCTGTGTGATGATTTGGGGGCTGAACAGCCAGGAACAAACAAGTCTAGAATATAATGTCACCATTTAGGAATTTAAAAACATTGTTTCTGCTATGGATAGAATTTTAGAAGAGATACATGACCTACCTAGGACATATACATTTTTAGCTTTAGTTGCTATTAGATTGGCAATTCATATCATATCCTTAAAAGATGGTTTGTTAACATTTCCAAGAATGAGAAATGGTAGCAAGAGTTTATATGAAAGGATTCATTCCATTGAAGTGATAATGATAAACTGACAGGCAAAACTCACTCCATGGAACATGGAAATAATAAATTAGCAGAAAAAATTCATTCCATGTCAAAGGCTTATGAAAAATTGGCAGATATAACATTGCTTTTGTAAGGCAATCTACATGCCATCCACATAATCTCTAAGAATGAAAAGGTGTCATGGATGGATAAAATGAAATCCTTAGACTCATGTGTGGATGATGAGAAAAGAAAGTAATTGATATAATGAAATCACTGGAATCATTCACTGTTCAGGAGGCTCAAACCCTACAGAAAGAAGTGAAGAATAGATTTCAAGCATTAAAAGAACTTGTTTAAACTGATAAAAAAATATTTAGGCACAGATGAGAGATTAAAGGGGACTTAAACTCTCCAGTACCTTACAGAGTCAAAGATGACTTGCCTAAAGTTGTGAGTTACCTACTATGATCATATCATGCTACTACTTGTGAAAAAACAGCAAATAACAATTATCCCAAAAGATATGTGGACTGCCAATCTTTCAACACATATGAAAGATACAAAGGATATTAAGGAAGCAATAATTTCTTATGGTATGATTTCAGAACATGTGAGACAGTTGTTAAAAACATGGTCTTCAAGAAATTGGATTACCCTAAATGATTGACTTCAATTAATCTTATTAGTACTAGAATATGTTCCTCAGTTATAATCGAAAAGTTATTGGAGAAACACTAAGGTCTTTGTACAAGGTAAGATTGGAGGTTATGAGGTTTCTCAAGATCAAATTTTTCATGAGGACAGTTATACTGCTGTAAACAGCCAGGTTGCATACAATGACCACATCTTGTCCCTATGCCATACATCAGTCTTGAATGCTTGGTATAGGATTCAAGAACCAATAAAAATAATTGAGTTATAAACTAAAGTTATACAGAGCTCAAAAGATCCCTTCAGTGATTTTTCTTTTGCAAATATTGACTAAAACTGTACATATAGGGGCATCAGATCAAGAAACAAGATGAGTACTCATTGAATCTCTGGCTTTTGAAAATGCTAATTAAAAATGAAAAATGATAATTGTTCCTTTAAAGATCAGATCAGCATTCACAGATAAATGAGTCTTACACACAGCCAATGTTGAGTCTTTTAACTATAATGATGAAACCTGGATAAAGAGGCAATTTCCAAAGGTCTGAAAGGACATCATAATGCCAAAAACTTTAATTGTGTTAGGAAAGGTCATCTGAAAGAAATTGTAGACAGAACATTACTATAAACAAGATTCCTTCTAGGAATGACCCAGATAGAAGACCCAACCTCCCAGATTATGCAGAAGATGCAGCACAGACTCTCACTGGATCATATGTGGCTAATGTAGCAGTGAATCAATGGGGTAGTGATCTGTTGCAGCAGTTGGATATCTAGATTAACATTCCTACTGTCTCAGAAATGGACCAAAAACCAACTCATGTTTCTGGGAAGAATATTATAAGGCTCTACAGAAACAGGAAAACAACCTCTCGGAATTAGCAACATTCCTACCCTTAAAATGTTTAGCTGACAACCCTGTCTAGGTTGGGCAGTGACCTTTGACATCAGAGAAACTACAGGCTTTAGAACAGCTGATTCAGGAGCAGCTAAGGTGCTGGACATATTGAAGAATATACCAGTCCTTGGACTTATCCTGTATTCATTATTAAAAAGAAATCTAGAAAATGGAGAAAGGTGACAAACTTGGGAGCCATAAGTAAAGCAATTCAGGTGATGGGATCTGGATGGCCTAGAATATGTTTGCCTTCTCTGTTACCTAAAGAATGCACTATTATAGTTATTAATTTAAAAGACTGTTTCTTCATTATACCTTTACAAGAAAAATATAGGGAAAATTTTGCCTTCAGGGTGCCTACTTATAATAACACTCGGTTGATTAAGAGATATCAATGGAAAGTCCTATAATCTCAGATTTAGGACTTCAGAGGAAGAGGCAGAATGATGGTTGTTAAGTTCAAAGTGAGTCTGGTCTTCATGGTGTACTCTAAAAAAAATAATTTGAAGACAGTTGTAAGATTAATCAGAATTACTGGAATTGACCCTTTAGTATTAACCAGAATACTATGCACTTCTGAGCCAGACTAATGTTATATTGTACCTATTTTGTTAATTATTATCTAAATATTATTTTACTCAGTATATCTGTTCAGTTTCCTCATTTGCTCCCTTCTTTTGCTTTATATAGATTTGAGTATAATGAGGCAGTCCAAGGCCATCC